ATACATACAAGTATATGTATGTATGTTGGTTATTGTATTCACGCTATATTATAATTTGCTGATAAGTACTCAAATATTATAAAATGTCCCATATATACATTTTTGTAAAGGGGGTTTATAATAGGTGTGCCGTAGCAGTGACTATCCATTCAGTTCCAAACTAGTCCGCACCAACGTTTTACGAATTTTTCACGCTGCTCTCGTGTGTACCAACTGTCGCAGAAAAAAGGCATACAAATTTATAATAATAGTTTATTTAACATACTGTGTACTTTATTTTCACTTGTTCAAATTATTATTTAAGAAGAACAATATTTTCGAAATTGTCTCGAAATTTTGAAAGCTGTAACATCCTCTGATTATTTCGCTTGGCTTTGCTTTCTTTTAAAATATTAAAAAAGTACAATTTCAAAACGATTTTTGTTGGAAACATTTTCGAAATTTTGGCACTTTTTTATTGAGAGTCTAAAGTTAGAATATACATATGTTCGAGAAATTAGTTTCGAGTGTCCGTTTTCAATACTATGCCTATTAAACTGAAGTGAAAAATTTTAATGTCTCTGACGAATTTCGTTATTGATTTTTCACATTTTTAGTAATTAAAAAAAAAAAATCATTATATAAGGAGTAGGCGGGGTTATCATTCTATTTCACCTTTTTTTTGCATTATCGTAAGAAGGATTGAAAAATTTTGGCATGTGCAAATTTGGCTGATGTAGCCTTGTTGTTTTGGAAGATACATATATATATATATATTAAACTTATTAGGGGGCGGCCGCCATATATTTAATATCAGGATTTTCAAACATCCGGTTGACTTTACCTCCTATACTATATTGTTGATGGTATGTGAGGTACCTTAATGAAACTAACAGAGCATCTATTTCTGTTAATAATATGTAACAATGCCAAAAAAAGATAAAATCGGGTCAATACTACACCTATCTCCCATATATTTAAAAAAATGTTTTCAAACATTTGGTTATAACGCATATATTGGTCAATATGTAAGATAACTTAGCAAAGTTAGCAGAACGTATAATATTGGATATACTTTAATTTAATGCCGCAAACATATGGAATTATGTTATACCACATATAGTAATTTCCGTTATTTTAACAAACCTTATTATATTACTATATTCTATCAAAACTTGTTTTTTTTTTGTTTTGGTTGTTTGTTGATTATAGTTCAACGTTTCATATTGAATTCAATTTAATAAATTAAAATTTGATGAGTTCAAGTATTCGTACGCCGAATTAACACTTGGTAACAATTTGAAATATAATAATCACTAATTCATAAAAGAGCAATTAAAATGAATACAACAACGATTTGACATTTGAAATTTCATTAGAAGGAAAGAAACACTGATTGCATGTGACATGTAAATAAACATGTGCGTACTTATATACATATGTATGTAGTATGTGTATGTATGTATATACTTGTACATAAGTGTATGTGTAAAACAGCTGTGCGTGCACTTACCACTAAAATATCGAATGAAAGACGGCGATAAGCACGCCTGCGTCTCAAAGGTAACTATTTAAATATGTATGTGTATTGTATATCTCAACCCGCAATGTTCAACAAGTATCGCAAAAAACGAAACCTTCTACAACACTTCTTATATTTGATTAAAACCAGCGCAGAAATTTAATTTTTTATTTAATTTTTTTTTTTGAATATTTTTCGATTAATCAAAAAACGATTGCCTACAACGCCGGCCTCAATTATTGCTTTTAATCGTCAAACAGCACACCTACTTTTCATCAAAATGCCAGAAGTTGTATAACACAATGACAGAACACATTGAAAACGCCGCGATTTGCGCAAAATTAGTTTAAACAGCAACAATAACAAATGCAATGTGTTTCATTCAAATCAATAAGTACAGTTAAGTAAAAAAGATAAACCACTTCACACACTCAGAAATTTGCAAAACAATTTTGTTTTTGTATTTATTAAATTTTTAATCCCACATTTTTATTTATTTTACTTGGTTACTTTACTGGCAAAATATTTATTCTATATTTTTCTTGCGCGAAACTTATACCATAGGGCACGCACAAATATTATTATTTGTTAATTACATACATAAGTATTTGGGTACGTCAACGTCGCTCCCTGAATTAATTGCGAACTGTGCAAAGCACCTAAAAACCGGCACAACACCACCACAATTACTTAACAAATCGTCGTTTGGACCTAGAATAAATTACCGATGTCTGAACGCGCACGCAACCCGAATACAACTAAAATGATGAGAAACATTTGAGCGTGATTTTAGCCGACTACTGCCATTTTCTTCTTCTAAATATATGGTTTACGAGTACTGCTATTATCGCACAAAACATGAAATGACTTACTAACTAATTTGAGAATATGTGTATGTATGTATGTATCTATAGAAACGTACACATGCAATATTTCTGCCAAACCAATCTATGGTATGTACATAGGTAGTACGAGCGTGTACTAAAGAGCGAAAGCTTTCAAAGATTTTTTGGAGCAATGTAGTAGAGATAACGACGCTCACGATAAACTTTATGCATTTGGTAGTCGATGAGAGAAGCAACATGTGGGGCATTTCATATGAAATGGGATTTTGATTTGAAAAATATTTACAAATATATTTGGAAATATTTATTGATGTAGATTATTATTTTTACATTCTCTGCTTGCTATCTTTGAGCGCTGCTCTCTTGTCAAAAAAATTACCTAGAGTCGTAGATGAGAGTATACAATAGCTGTCTTCGCCAAGTGTTGGAGGGTAGTGAATCGAACAAACTATACCAGTTGTTGAAGCAACCTGGCAGCACTTGCATTGCAACCCTGCACTAACATCACCATTGACGCATGCGCAATTGTGTTGCGCATCTTTTTTTTGATGGAAACATTTTTGGTTTTCCGCGAAAAAAACATTTTTTGAGCCTTCTGTTTTCTACAAACAACTATATTTTATTTGAAATCTTAAGTTTTGAAAATTAATAAAGAAAACTTTTATATTTTCAATTCAAACAATAAACCAGGGTCGATCATTTTGAAAGTAAAAACAAAAACTTAATAGATGAAACCCATTGGAAAAGGAAGATAAAATAACCAAATTGAAAGCAAAAAATAATTTACAGGCGATCTGAGCCCGCAAGAAGGAGTTGGTTTAAATTTTAATGGTTAAAAACGGCGTAACTCGGTATCAGGCAAAAATAAATAGCAAAGTTGTAAGTAATAAAAAGATCTACCTCAAAATTCATGTAAAAATTTCAAAAGACCAAGTTTTTGGTTCTTCAGCTTTATCTTTCACAAAACATTTTTTTAGGTGAAATCAGATGATAACCACGCCAACTAACTGATATTCACGATTTGGAAACGTCCAGCTGACTTTACTTTATATATATGTTTATATTTATATATGTTTAAAATTGTTTGAAAGTAAGTTCTTAAGAATACCTGAGTAATGTCAAAAGTTAATGCAATCAGCCTTTCTTTTTCTATGCCCCCAACGATTTTAGTAAAATTTCCGTTGACGTCAAGTAAAATATAGTAATAAAACTAAGTGAGTCATTCACTATTTCGCGGAACAATCAAGTTAAACCTTTTCGCTACATTTCTTAATATATAGTTTTGCCAACACCTGAAGGTATTTCCCCGGCTTTGGTCATTGAAAGTTGCATGAGTTGGAAATGTTCGGTTACACCCGAATGTAGCTCTTCCTTACTTGTTTTTTTTTTCACTTTATTTTGACTTAGTATCGAAAAAGCATACTAATTTTCAATTACATCTTCTTATGTCAAAATATTCGTTTTTTTTAATATGGTTGATGAATTTAAAAAAAGAAGAAAAACAAATTTGGCTTTAAAAGTGATCATATCAAAACAAACTGAAACAACCAAAAAATTTACAGACAGAAAAGTTAAATATAATTGCATCTTTGTTTCAACACAAGTATATTTAGCTTTAATTGTAAGCATTATACTTGTATGGTATAGTAACGATTGAGAGTTATCGGTCAATCGACTTTTTTCTCAGGTTTTACACGCTTTTCGTTTAAAAAAATAGCACATATTTACCTTTTCCTAAATATTGCATATAAGCCGCGACGATCTCAAAATAAAAATCGGTAAACTAGAGAGTAACAACGAAAGCTCACTAGATATAAAAGCTCAAGAGAAAGGAGAGAAAATGGACATTTTGCTGGTGGAAGAAAATTTTACAGTTTGTTGCATTTTACTTTCTTTGTTTAAGAACTGACAGCTACCATTACTAGGCACTTTTGCCAAGCCAATGAACTTCCCGATGAATGACAAAAAAAGTGGATAAATGTGTCATTTCGTGTAAGTATATACCTATTTATATAGCATTGCTTCTGAAAATTAAAAACATATACATATGTATATAAAAAAACAACGCAAAGATAAGTTCGGGTGGAACGGTATCTTCGTCGCAAATCGTATAATTACCATATGTTAAGTAGGAAATTAGTATTCTAGTGACAAGAAATTTAACTATTAAAGACATCCTGTCAAGAATACTATATGTGCTCAACTTATTTTTAAAACCTTAATTAAAGCTTGAACCATCTATGCTAATATAGAACATAGAACTGGTTACTGTCCAATCAAATCGGCGGAATCGTTTGTGAGGGCCTTAATAAGGCCAATCGATTTGTTACGCCTTTTTCCAAACAGCAAGGCAGCGTACGTCAGGTATAGTGAACCCTGATAGTCGAGATCTAAACTATTTATTTAAGGAAAACATATCTATGAACCTAAACAAAATGGTGTTTTATAATATAATATAATATCACGATTATCGGCCTGGATCTCTATAAACAAAAACTAATTCAATTACGAATAAAAAACATGAATATATTATGATGTACAATTCATAGGTCCTTCTTATTGTAGTCCATAAAAATGCCATTTTGACCAGCCTGAGCAACCGAACTTTTCAGGGTTAAAGGTATGAAAAAATGGCTTACAATGTTTTGCTTTTCAGTAGTTATATGTATAAGTATTGCCGCATAATTCAAGCGGTTTCAAGTTTCAAGTTCAAATACGTTCCACAGATAGATTAACAGTTAAATTTTCCATAATTAATAATTATAAAATACTGTTATTTTCCTCGTTGCCTACGGAAATATTCCAAATTTGACCTTTTGCCGCTTCAGCGACATACTGACATTCCCCTTTCGTGAACTTGAACTTGGCACGTTAACCTTATTCGCGCTGAGAGCTGAAATATGCTCTAAGAAACTCTCATACAAAATTAAACATGTGAGTATATTAATATAGTTGTGCGCATGTTACCGGTGTTAGATACCGGTGAAACCTGTTGCTTCGCGTTTATTGGAAAAAGTGGAGTTTGTGATTCACAATCAGCTGTGGCCATTTGGCGCCATGACAAAAACACATACATAAAAACACGAGTACTTTTGGGAACGAAGAAAGAAAATGACTGGAAGTGAAAATTTTGAAAAATCGTTTCGCTTTATATGTATAGGTACATAAACATTTATTCAAATAAATGCGCTGCAAAATTATATACTTGTGTGGGTTTATTAAGACTAAGGATGCTGAGCTTGGAAGTGTTTTGTTGTTATGGAGTTGTCAATGGAAAAAAGGCAATTGTGGACAGAGTAAAGCTAAACTGACATATTCGGATTAAGGTTCTAATGAAGAGGTGGCCTGTACTGTCAACAATTGGACCATATGAAAGCAGCAATCGCCCAGAAGCGGCCAGCTTTGGCTAATAAGAGAGCAAATGTGTTCTAACGGGACAACGCCAGGCCATATACACGATAATGACTCGCCGGAAGGTCAGAACCTTTGATGTAAGATTCTAATGCATAATCTTGGAATAGATAACCTATAAAATGTATATATAAATGATCAGCATGACAAGCTGAGTTGATTCAGCCATGTCCATCTGTCTACATACATATACGCGAACAAGTCCCTCAGTTTATGTGATATAGATCTGAAATTTTGCACATGTCCTTTTATCCACAAGAAGCCGCTCATTTGTCGGAATCACTACAGCATGTAGTTGTCATACAAACTGAACGATCGAAATCAAGTGTTTGCATGGAAAACTTTTTCATTTGATGTAATATCTTCTCGAAATTGGTATACCTATATATAATGTAATCTCCGCAGAAATTGTTCACATCGAATCACTATAGCAAATTGATACATTTTTGATTGATTGATATATAAACTGAACAATCAAAATCAAGTTGTGGTAAGGAATGTTTTGTATCTGTTAAGCGTATTCAAGCTGCAGTGCAGAAGAAGTTAACGTTTTTTTTTTTTGTTTTTTGACAAATCTTCGATTATTGCCCACAATGTGTAATGTACAAATTATCGAATTATTACTGTATTTACAATATGGACTTAATAAAACGTTGAATATTGACTTAATAAACTAAAAAAGTAATGAAGAAATGAATTAATATTTTGTATGATTTTCGCATTGACGCCAAAATATTTTAACCACCTTTTTTTGTTTTTTATCCACTTTCTTAACTTTTGTTCTTATACGCTCCCGCTGCTGTCATATTCGCGACCAAACGGTAAACTGGCGATGCATATAAAAATATATAATTTAATATATGTTTGTTTAGGTGCTTTACTCTATATATGTATGTATATGGTATATTTATGCCAATAAATAAGTGTCGACATTGTTGTTGCTGACAACGCGTGAAAAAGTTGGCCTGCTTAATGTAATCATGGTCACATAATAAAACGTGGTGCTTACAATACGAATGGCTACAATCTGGATTTTGTTGATTGTCATCATCATCACTTTCGTTACCTAGCCAAAACACGCTATATTATTACATTATTTTGTTGCTTAGTGTTGGTGGTGTTGTTGATGTTATTTCACCTTTTACTTTTCCCGCATTTCCATTTGCAGATCGTCTTGCTGCCAGAACGTCCGACGATAACGATCATTATTAGATCAGCTTGATAACGTTGATCGGCATTGGCGCACAGCACACGAACGCATATTTCTAGTTGTGTGTGTGTAGGTATGCATGCATAATTAGAGGTTTTATCCTCTTTTTACTCAGCGCATTTTTCATGGTTTTTTTTTTTTTGTTTTTTTTTTTATTTAGTTTTATTGTAACATTGAGCAAGCAGTGAAATTTCCTCGCTCTACGCACCGCACAGCTGTGTGAAATGGACACCGGGTTTGGGTTTCGGATTCGGCGTGGTTTTCGTGATTTTCATTGCTTGCTACTGCTACTGCGACGACGTCAGCGACAACGATTTTAGTTATGGTTTAGCTTTGGCTTTGGCTTGGATTTTGGCTTCGCCTTCGCCTTTAACATGCGGCACAGCTGCTCGATCGGTTTCAGATGACCACGAACGGTGAACGCGTCAAGAACTTATGCTCACCTATAATCATTAAGTGAGCGCCGATAGTAAAGGCAGCACAGAAGCACAATAGTTACCGAACGGTCAGACGCGAGTAGAGTATAAAACACATTATATAGCCGGCGTGGAGGCAGCTATAGTATTAAAAAGAAATTAAGTCAAATGAAAAGTGAAAACAAATGAAAATAAATAATCTAACATTATATTAAGAAAACAAAAATAGAAAAAAAATTTCAAATATATGTGTGATTTTTTTAAATAAAATTTTGTACATGTTTTTACGTGTAATTAATTATAATTTAAGTTCGTTATTGTGTTTGGTGTTAATTGACGTTCTTGTGATTTTTTTTTTTTTATAAATTGTTTTAAACTCTAAGAAATCCAAACGAGCCCTCGCCTACTGCATAAGAAACCGAAATATTTAATTTCCACTAACCAACGCAATTTTATGCTCGATCCCAAAATTGACGATTACGCGTTATAATTTTTTTCAAAATATTTTTTTTTTTTATATAATCATACGAGAATAGCAACCGGCAAAAGCCTATACACACCATAAGAAGCAGCAAGGAAATAAGTAAAAAGCCGTAAATTAAAAAAAATAATAAAAATCAGTAAAAAAAAATTAAGTTTTTGCCGAAACAGCATTTGTAGTATGCCAAAAGCCCATAGAGCCATACAACGCACATAGGCAACATCATTAACAGCAACAGAGCGCACCAACAGCAGAATATCGACGTACGGTTAGTGGTAATATAGCCAGGCTTGCGCCAGGCCAGCAAGCAGCGAGCACAGTGCTGAGTTAGGGCTTGTAAAAAATTGCAATTGCCACTAGAATTCGATACAAGCGTGCGCATCGTCACAATGCTGAATTTGTTGCCATCGGTGGTGTTAAATGCTTTGCGCGCCTTCTGGTTGCGTCTGCTGGTAATATGCGGTAGAACGCATAAATATCGCCTGCGCGATGGTGAATACTTAACGCCATCAACAGCAGAGACCATTTCGATCACAGCGACGACGAAGCCGAGCAGCATAACAGCAACACAACAATTGTCATCACCCAACATGGGGGCCTGGCCGTGGAAGGCGAAAGCTGAGAAGTCGGCAGAGGATATGCGGAAGTTGCCAAGGCCGAAAGGATTGCCATTAATTGGCACGTTTTGGGATCTAGTAGCCGCTGGCGGTGGACAACAGTGAGTGCACTTTCATATAAATTGTTTATTAATGAGTTTTGTGAATGGTTTTGTGTGACTTTTTGTGTTTGTACTACTTATGTATATACAAGTATAAATGTAAAAAAGTACATTTAACAAATGGCTTTAATTGGGATGGATTGTGTAAAATTTCTTGAAACATGAAGTCGACAAAGGAATAAAAAACTAAAAAAAAAAAATTAAACATTTGAATAATTAGCTACATAAATAAATAAGCGCAAGTAAAGTGCGAAAAGTAGTATTCATATTAAATTACAAGCGCCTTATTTATACACTATCGCATATACATATATAATATTTGTATTTAAAAGCTCAATTTATAGTTACTGAGGCAGTTACATAAAACTCAATACAAATTCAATTCCTACCTATGCATATTTGCGTAATTTCGCCAAGAAGTTTGTAGCACTCAGAATGAAAAAAAATATATATATACATATATATATAGGTTTGTTCAAAAAGTATTTCGTATTTCTTAAGAAAGTGTTTAGATTAGTTGTTTAGATCGGACCATTATAGCATATAACTGACATTGAACTAAATAGGGTATATTAAGTTTGCCACGGAATTTGTAATACTATTTGTAATAATATAACTTCGAAAACCTTATAAAATGTTTATATGATGATCAGCATGACGAGCTCGCTTGATTGGTCTGTCCGTCTACGTCGTTTTTGTTACTTTTAAATTTTAGAAATTTCATAAAGGCTGTTGGATGCATTTTGGAAATCGTTATCATTTTTTAACGGTTACTTTTTATTACAAAAAACAATCAATGACCCACCGATTGCAGTTTGGGCTTTTCAATGCTAACTTCGTAAAACACACAGTTACATATACCAGTTGACCAGTATTTGTGAAAATGAAATACTTATTTTGAATGGGAAAGTAAAAAGTAAATTATTCAAAGTATTAACCATTGCTTTTTACACCCCCATCTTGGATCTTTCCCATAGCTTTCCATGGCTGCTATTTGCTTTAGACTCAAAGTATCATCTTCATCCAGTATTACTTGCAGTTCGGCGTCTTCAAACTTGTTTGCTGGTCTTCCACGTTCTTCATTTCTCACATTAGAATCATTATCTCCGAAACGTTGACACCAACTTCTGCATGTTGGTTCTGATAGAGCATGATCACCATACGCCTCGACAAGAATTCGATGTGACTCTGCAGCACTTTTTTTCAAATGGAAATAAAAAATTAATGCTTTCCGCAAACCATCACTTTCCTGTAAAAAATTTGACACTTTTAACACAATGAAAAATATGATATTGTTTGTTCAATGACTGTAAGGTTATTACAAATGTTTGACAGATGTCATGCCAACAAAACAGAAAAAAAAATTAAGCCTCGTTCACAACAAATGTTCCCACCAATACATTTGTATATTAACGCTCACTTCACAGGTCCATCTCGAATAAACTGTATGCTTATGCCGCATTTTTTGAAAAGTAAATGAAAGTGATCAACCGAACTATGACCCGAAAGCATTTTGACCTAATACTGTACTTAAAAAAAAAATTAACCTCGTTTTATACCCTCGCAACATGTTGCTACTGAATATTATAGATTTGTTCTTGCTTGTTTGTAACACCTAAAACCAGTGAAGGAGAGAGAGGTGAAGACCGGGGACAACTCCCCTCAGGCTCGGAGTACTCCGAAGGGCTTGGTACTCTGCAAAATTTTATTACAGTTTTTTTTCTAGCTGGCTTTACACGATTATTATCTAGTATTAGCACTGTATATGCTTTCAAAAACTAACGTTTTTCCTTTGAGCGATCAATTCGCGCAAAACTATTTTTATTTTTCACTGACGCGTATAATTCGATCAATTGTTTTCGATCTTCGTAATGTGTAACGTCGTGCCGTGAAATAAGAAAAATTAGTGCTCAGTATAAGAAACGTTTTGAAGCAGGCTCTCTAACATAAACCTAACCTAAAGGTCCCAAATGGACTATTAAAAAAACTGCAAAGTATTTAAATACGAGTTGTACATTTGTGAAGAGATGGTCCGAGCATTATGGAGAAACTGGAAACGTAGATGACAAGCCAGGAAGAGGAAAGACTCAAGTGACGTCTAAAAGTAAGGGCATAGCAATTGTTTTTCTTTTTGAGAAAAAATCACTGCTCAGTCTAAGAGAATCTAAAATAAAATTGTTTAAAAAGGGATATCTCTAAATGCGATACGGTACAGATTTCAGAGATCTGGCATCAAACGACAGTACTGCTGCGTTTACTTTCAAAAATTCGCATTAAAAAAGGTTACATTGGGCGCAGGAAACCAATATAATCTTTACGGTTGAGTCAACTTTTGTGTTATTCAACCTCTTGAAACGTGTTTGGCTAAAAAAAAGGACAAATATTTATTCAAAAAAGTTGAAATACTTTACAGCAAAAATAACCATGATTCGATACTGCAAGATAGCAATAATCCGAAACATAGCAGCAGACTCTGTACTTAATGGAAACAAGAAAACCATATTGTTACTTTATAGTAGACATCACAGTCACCAGACACCAATTCAATGGAGAATGTTTGGGCTTTAATGAAAGCCAAAATATCAAGACAACATTTGACGTCAACAAAACATTTCATTCGGCTACTCCAACATACTTGGTGGTCGCTTCGTGTTCAATATGCGAAAAATTTAGTTGCAAATTATCATCAAAGATGTCAAGCTATAAAAGACAACGCGGTAGATTGGAGCAAGTTTTATTGAAACAATTTCTGCTATAAAAAACAATGCATTTCCCATAATTACAACCTTTTTCTCAATAAACGCTAACATCAACAAAAAATATATATATACATATATATATAATATCAATAAATTGATGGGTCAGTGGACCCGCATCCAATATCCTCCTCCCGCACTACTACTTCAAACTTTTTAAAAATAATTATTGTTTAAATGTATTTTGCGTACTCTTGACATACATACATACGTATGAATAAACAAATGATAAAATAAAATGAATAGTAAATTATATAACAATGTACATATTTCAAAACAAACACTCGAAATGCGTACCTCTCGGCTAGATAGAGTACATCCTTAATATAAAGCCACCGACGGAATTTCTGATAGGAAAAAGCTTCTAATAAGATTCAGTATCCTTTCAACCGAGTGAATTAGGCGAATAAGCTCGAATCATTGTTTATATATACAATAATCTGGTGAAGTGCGCAGTTACCAGATTTAAGCTACCATTCTATTTTTTAAGAAATAAAATAAATAAATGCTATTAACGTAATTAATCGAAAAAATATCGGATTCCCATATTTTCACACTAAGTTAAAAACCATATATGTATATTTTGTAAAAGTCCTATTCATAATTGAGCTCAAATTCCAATATCGACAAAAAAACTGTTTACTAAAAGCGGAAAATTTTAAAAGCGAAAAACCAACAAATTCGCAACGCTGACGATATCTTTTTATGAAATCTATAAACGATTGGGATGTGCTTTAAAACTTAAAGGATCATGTTATATTTATTTTTAGGTTAGAATTTTTGACTTCTAAGCAATTTTTGTTTTATATTTGCGTCAATTTAAATGCCATGTTACTTTTTTGTTTTTGGTTCTTACCGAGGAGTACAGGACAGTTAAGTTTTGATAGCGAACAGAAATTTTATGCGCATATTTTATTGAATCAGCATACAAAGCTATAGGAACATGTTAGCAAAGAATTTACAAGTATGGCCGCCGGTATATACTTGTATGTACATATGTATGTATGCGCATGCAGATATAACGTACCGTTTGTAATGTGCCACAACGCCATCTTTAAACTAAAAATTTGCAATTTTATTTAAAAAAAAAACTGCGAAGTTCATATTCACTGTTTGAAACTCCATTTCGCAAAAAAGGTGTAGGCAATTTTCGCGCACACACACACACACACACGAACTCAAAGATGGTGGCAAAATGTACTTATGTATACACAAGTCCATTTATAATATTCTGGGCGGTTGATCGCATACATATCGGGAATAAATCAATTTGAGTGACGAAAGTAAAATATTTTGACTTTCAAATTTTTCGTAAATTCAACTGAACCCAGTAGGCGAACAAGCGGAGCAGGCATATGAAACAAGTGGAATGAAATGTAGTGAAATTAAAGCAAACGCAGTTGGTATACGAATTTTGGTATCGCTTATAGAATGAAAATTGAAAATAAGTAGAAAAAGTTGTAAGAGTTTGCGAATTTTCTTTAACGAAATTAACATTTTTACAAATTTTATGAATAGTTTTAATGGAACACCACACACCAACGTATACCTCAACTGAGTATATAAAGTTTGCCACGAAGTTTGTAACACACAGAAGAAAGCGTCGGAGACTCTATAAAATATATACATATCGTACATAAATGATCTGTCCGTCTGTCTGTATATATGCGAAGTAGACCCAGTTTTTGAGATATCGATCTGAAATTTTGAGCACTTCCTTCTCTCCCCAAGAAACTGCTCATTTGTCGGAACCACCGATATCGGACCACAATAGCATATAGCTGTCATACATACTGAATGATCGAGATCAGATGTTTGTATGGAAAACTTTTACACTTAACGAGATATCTTCACGAAATGTGGCATAGATTATTAGCTAAGGCAACGGTGCAATCCCCGAAGAAATTGCTCAGATCGAGTCCTTATAGCATAGCACTGCCACACAAACTGACGGATCAAAATCAAGTTCGTGTAAGGAATCTTTTGTATTTTTGAATGCTATTATGGCTTCGGTGCAGCCGACGTTAAAGTTTCTTTTTGTTAGTAAATGCATTCAGATTGATGAATGATGAATCGAGATCGAACCTAAAGATTAAAACGAATAGCGTCTGTTGACAAAATTAAGTCTGAATACCAATCCTCACTTGTTTCTGTTTGTTGTATGAAATATTGGTTGTTTTAATCTATCTTACTATTTTGTACACAATTGTCCATATCTAACAAGCCTAAGCTCTTGTATTTGGGCATTTATTATGGTTTTCAACGGAATATGAATTCGTAACTTTCAGTCGTTTTTGGTTGATTGTATAGGTTATTTTGTTCACGATGTTTCAACTTATCAATGTCTCGTTCCCTTTTATGTAAATAGGGAAACTCTAACCGATTGCTATTTCACACTTTTTTTACAGGCTTGACTGGACTAGATAATTTTCTTATACCCTTTACAGGGCATATTAGGTTTGCCACCATGTTTGAAATACCCAAAAAGAAGCGACCAAGACCTTATAAAGCATATACTATATAAATGATCAGCATGAAGAGCTGAGTCGATGTAGCCATATCCGTCTATCTGTGTATATGTGAACGAGTCCATCAGTTTTTGAGATATCGTTCTGAAATTTTGCACACGTTATTTTCTCCTCAAGAAACTGCTCATTTGTCGTCGGAATCGCTGATATCGGACCACTATAGCACATAGCTGTCATGCAAACTGAACGATCGAAATCAGATGTTTGTATGGAAAACTTTTTCATTTGACGAGATATCTTCAAGGAATTTGTTATGGATTATTACCCACGGCAATGGTGCAATCTCCGAAGAAACGGTTTAGATCGGATCACTTTAGTGTATAGCTGCCATACAAACTGACCGATCAAAATTCTTGTAAATTATCTTTTGTATTTGTGAAGGGTATTATAGCTGCGAAGTTAACAATTTTTCTTGTTTTTAAAAGTAGTTGTTGGCTCCTCGATAAATCATATTGAGTTAAATCTACTTTGAAAAAAAAAATCGGAATCGATTTTATATGGCTTGCAACAACATCACTGTGATTAAGCGAGGCTTCGTTACATTTTTTTAACAGCATTTTTATGCCTTTTGTGAACATTAGAATTATAACTTGGAAACAAAAGTACATGACAAAATCAAGAAAGTCTACGTAAGAAAAAATTTTATAATTGATAAGGAATGTGCATGAAACGATAAAATCGGACTATTATATTGTAATAGTGCAATCATATATGCACGTACTAGACACACAGAATTTACTATCGGTTTTCGTGTTATATACGAGTATACAATTACTTCCTTTATAGCCGATTCTCAAAATGAGAGCAGTGATTTTCGCTTGTTACCGATTCTTTAAATACCGGCTACCAACAATAGACGAAGAAAATTTTTTAAAACAATTCTTTTATTTGACTTTACACACACATACGCTTGATAAAATATAGAGATAAGATAACATAACATAGTACAGCTTAATTTAACAGCTGTTCAGTGACGTCACAATAGCGCGTTTTCTATATTTATAACCTTCTGTCTGTGTTCTTCTTTAAGCTGACCTGAAATGTTTATTATATTATGTATAAATTTCCACAGAGTATTGTCTGAAGAAAAAACTGAAAATTCAATTGTTCTTCATTAAAAAGTAGGGTCACCAACATTAGTTAAAAAAAATAAGAAGCCAATGCTATTTTGTAAATATTTTGCTACGACTTCCTGAGGGCTTTTAAGCCAGCGAATAACATTTTTTTTAAGGTATATGAATAGTAACAATGTCGCGCGATTTACATAAATCGATTTTTTTATACTCAACATTTAACACGTGCTCTTCTCCGTTAGCAAGCGGATATAATTTCATGGCCACTTTTTTGCAAAGTCGCAAGCTTTTTTACATAAGCAAGGATTTATGAATTTCAAATTGCTTACTTTTAAGATAAACTTGACAACGGAAACTTAAATCGGTGTTTTTGAAGGTCAGCTCAAATTTTCAATGACAATATCGGAATTTTAAGTGTCCGCATATATATTTATACTGATATATGTTTATATGTCTTTGTATAAGTATATTATGTTTTTTTGTTTTAGCACCAAAAATAATTTGCAATGCCTGGAGGCTGCATTGCACTCCTGTAGCAATAGTTTGAAGATTTTTATTTTTATTTTAAGCTGTTATACTTGCTTACACATACTTTTACAAGGACTGTTTATGTTAGATTATTATTTTTTTATAAATACATAGAAATTTAATATAAATGTTATTTGATTCATTAAACTTTAGCGACAGATAGTCGCCGCAAGTTCACCTGCCGGTAGCGTCGCCTACTGGGTTTTTGTAATTTTTAAGCAAAAAAGTGATTTATTTTTGTAATTTTTTTTTTTTAGGTTACACAAATACATTCAACGACGCCATGAAGAGCTCGGTCCAATATTTTACGAACGTCTGGGCGGAGTACAGGATGCCATATTTGTTTCATCAGCAAGTCAAATGCGTGCGGTATTTCAATATGAGGGCCAATACCCACGTCATCCGCTGCCAGAGTCGTGGATTTTATACAACAAACAGCGCTATTGTCAGCGCGGCTTGTTCTTCATGTGAGTTGAGACGAACAAAATACAAAAAACAAAAAACAACAACACTTGCATGTATTTGCCTGAATTTCATTAACACTTCTAATTCTTTTTATCGCCTAATCTCAATCGTTTAGGGAGGGCGCCGAATGGCTACATAACCGACGCATATTAAATCGTTTTCTGCTCGGTGGCACCATGAAGTGGATGGATGTGCACATCGAAGCGTGTACGCAGCGTTTGGTGAATCTATGGAAGGCGCAGGCGGCCAAAGCGCAAGGCAACTACACCGAACTGTTGGAGCTCGAACAGCAGCTCTACTATTGGGCAATCGATGGTGAGTTGGCTTACATATGAAGACAAACTCTTTTCCCTAATAACTCTCGGAACTACCCTTCTACCTTTTAGTGGTTTGCACCATCATGTTTGGCGTCTCAGCGGCAGAGAATGCGCATATGGCCAAGACGATGGACGAATTCTCACGCATTGTGCATAGAATATTCGACACTAGTTCGGCGCTTATGACTTTTCCACCAAAATTGGCCAAACGTTTCAATATGCGTATTTGGCGTGATTTTGAGGCGAGCGTCGCAGCGGTGCTGAAGAAGGGTAACGATTTGATCGATCTATTTGTTGAATTGCCAGAAGCCGTTACAAATGGTTTGTGTGTGAAAAATGGCGTCGACTGTCACGATTGCAGTGGAGATTCACTCTTCCAGAAACTCATTTTGGCCGACATGCCGCTGGATACGATTAAGCGCATATTTGTGGATTTGGTTATTGCCGCCGGCGATACGGTAAGCAATTTTTTTTTTATACTCTGAAGAAATCATGCATTTCCAAATAAATTATCCATGTTATACAAACTGAACGATCAAAATCAAGTTTTTGTATGGAAAATTTTTAATTTGACATATAAAAGAATTTTGTTTCGATTAAATGCTAAAAACTGCAAAATATCAAACCAAAAATGTTCACACTTATAACATAAATTTATAAAAATTAAATCAAGATAACCAAAACTCCGATTAACGTTTGTCTTTCGATCAATATTCCGTTATTGCAGACAGCCTACACAACAGAATGGGCATTTTATATACTCACCCAGAATACGGAAATGCAAGAGCGTTTGGCGAAGGAAATGGCTGCGCATGATGGGCGCGGCAATATGCTGGTACATGGCCTCATTAAAGAGACTATGCGTTTATATCCGATTGCACCATTTATAGGACGCTACTTAGACACTGAGGCGAATATTGGCGGTTATCAAATCGAAAGAAATGTATGTATGTGAAATAATAAATATAAAAACATAACCGTTATTAATGCGTATACCTGTATAACAAATGTAGGTGAGCTTGATAGTGCATGTGATGATTTTTTTAATTAATAATTGTTATTGAAATTAAAACAAGTAATGCAAAATCCGTGCAGCAAAGCGGCAGATATTTATATTAGACGTTTTATATTTTGCATAGCTTATTTCTTGCGGTTATAAATTTTAAAATATAACAAATTTTATAACATTTTTTTCTAACCTGAAAATAATTGAAAAAATACATTTAATTTATTTTAATGTAAATATAAATGCGAACTTACACTTACATCATATTTTTATTGCATAACATTTCTGCTATCTTCCTTAAATTACATTTAGTTTCTTTATTAAAATTTTGTATTGCTAACCTTTAACCGCGTTTTTCTTATAACTCATAAATAACAGAGCTTGGTGCTGCTCTCCTTGTATACAGCGGGTCGTGAGCCCAAACATTTCCCCGATCCAGAGACGGCAAAACCAGAGCGTTGGCAACGCAATGAGGAAACCGGCGAATTACGTGAAGTCTTGCAATCGCATGGCTCCCTACCATTTGCCATCGGCAATCGTTCGTGCATTGGCCGACGCATGGCGATGAAACAAATGCATTGCCTACTGGCGTCGGTAAGTGTGTTTTTACATATTATAATTTCGGCAATTATTGTGCGCTGATTTTCAATTTTCTAACATATTCTTGCATATTTCAGGTCATAAGCAACTTTAAATTGCAATGTAACAATACAACACCAATTGACTGCAAGCTGCGTTTGGTAACGGTACCCGATCAGCCATTACGACTGGCAATAAAACTTCGTGACATCGCATAGTATTAGTTAATACATATACATATATACACTACACGTGTATATATTCAGTATATCAATATATATAGATATATATATATATATAATATATAGTATATAATATTCTTTGCACTCAGTTTAGATTTTAAACACACATACATATATAAAATATTACGAAATTTTAAATATAAAAGGAGCATAAGAGAATGTTAAGGACAATAATTATGTAGCTAAATATATATATATATATATATATAAATGTATGTATATATATACAGTTACACAAATAATGCTAGTATAGTGATGTATATAGAAAATAGTAATATAAAAATAAATAGTCCGAAAATGGGCGCATGCCATAATGAGTAACCGATCAGCATGGCAAATGTGATGAGCCCGAGCACTTGGTATGAGGCCAATGGGCGCAGGCATATACGGGCGGGTAGACGTTCCTCACACAATTCACTGACACCTTAAAATGTTACAATTTTAATAAGTGAATAATTTTAGTTGTATTAGCAATTTGTTTAATGTATTAACAAAAAAAAGAACAATATATATATATATATACTATATACACACATAACGGTATGTAAATAGAACAAATATAATATTTATGCTGCAAAATTAATTTTGGTAAAGAAAAATAGATGTGTTTATTACCTCTTGATTTGTCAAACCACTGCTGTGTCATGGGCGGGTACAGTAATTGTCGTGCTAATTTGCCGACAAAGTCTGAGCGACACCATAGTGCTTGAATTTCGTTGCCAAACTGCAAGCAATCAAGTTATATTTTAATATTAATTAAATTTTCATAAAATTCAATTGCTTGTCTTTCATACACACCATTTCATTTAGGCGACAGGAAATTTTGTGCAGAAAGCGCACTAGGAATTTAAGCTCATAATCCTTTATAGGCACTGTGGCGGGATCAATTGTTGCTGATAAATTCGCTAAATTGTTTTGCATCTGGAAAATATTAAATTATTCAATCAAATATATATCGACATACAGTATTTAAATCGAAAATTTGGTAGATTTTTTTTAAAAACAGTTTGTGAATTAAATAAAAGGCGGAACAAATATCTATAAAACAAGAAATAACGTTAAATTTGGCCACACCGAAGTTGATATACCCTACGCAGGTGCAATTTTTATTAAATAAAAGGTATAAAAATATCGTTAACTTGATTTTGATCAATCAGCTTGTATGACAGCTATATGCTATAGTGCTTCGATCTAAACAATTTGTTCGGATATTGTAGCGCTTTCTTGAAGAATAATATAGGCCAAATTTCGTGTAGATATCTTGTCAAATAAAAAAGTTTTCTATACAAGCACTTGATTTCTAAACCGCGATTTCGACATATTACACCGTCTTGTTATTGTTGTAGCAGCATATATCATACCACAATTCAAATCAATATTATGCACTCACCTGTATTGGTGAAACTTTTGATATATCCAAATAATCACTACTATCGTATGCAGACATGTTTAATTGCGGGCTGTTGCGATCGTGTATTTGTTCCAATGTAATTTCCGGCAACCGTACCTATATATAAATATTATTAGTTAATTGCAACAAATTTGTGCTAAGCTTACAACTTACATCGAACATAACAGACAATGAGCGTACAGCTAAGTCGAGTACATCAGGTATTTTAGCAATCTCTTGTAATTTCAACTCTGCCGGTGAGACATCGGCAAATATGGTGGCAAACATTTTACGCAAAAAGCTATGCGCTTTGCGTTGCTCCACAATATCAAGGCGTATATTGTCGATTTCTTGCAGCACATATAAACGTGAAATGCAAACAGTTTTGATAACTTGCTCAATCTCGCACTTAACTGCAGGACCAAAAAGTGGTGTGTAGCTTTCCTCGTGGAAAATACCATCCCATTCAGTTTTGCCTTGTCTGAAAGAGTTAAAACAAATTTTTATCATTTCGCAAATATTTTAGTTATAAATGCAAGAACAATGATACCTGGCGTAAACGGAATGCTTTCTTGGTGAGTCCGCGCCGAGTTGACAAATATATGCTTGCTCCGCTTGACACAGCATTGCCGGCAGATTAGGCTGACTGAAAACCTAGAATGGGATTTCAAATATTATTTAGCACAAATATATAAAAGAGGCACACCAATTACGAAAACGCAGTTGTACAACTATTATAGCACTTTTTTAATATTTAAATCCTTTTTAAAATATTCTTCTCTCACGTACCTTTACCAAACGATGCAACATAATAACATTTCTAAATGTTGTGAAATCCAGACGTTCGAAACGTGGCAATATGTAGACAAAAATTTGCGTATATATAACCAAATTCTCCGCTATGAATGTGCTAAAGCGTTGACTTACTGCTACTTCATTGCCAATAGAGCCCGCCGCCATACTGTTGGCAGCATTAACACCACTATAAACAATTACCTAAATTAAATAAATGTCATATCACAGTAAAGCAAATTCGCTCACTAGTAGCCTGCATTTGGGGCATCAAACAGATAACGCCAAGGTTGTATATAGCTGAGCCATAACTCCAGCACCACTGATAATGAGCTATCGAGCGGCCAGCGTCCTATAATGCTTTTTAGAAATGGGTAAATGCGCGTTTTCATCATTGGATTCGCGAGTTTACGTAACATCACCATTGGTGTGTGATCCAAATGCGTCGAATTGGCAAATGTATGCACTTGCTTAACTAATATACGCACAACGCGTATAAATTCGCTGCTCGGTAAATCCTATAATGTATTGAAAATAAATTATTTAAAATATATATATTTTTTAATTTTCTACTTGCACTTACGCGCGCCTCATCGATATCATAGCGCAGCCATGTGTCTATGAAGAAATGCAATACTGATTCTGTGCGCCAGCAATGCGTACGCGGCGAATCACAATTTCGTGCGGCCTGCACAGCCGCTACAGCTGCCGCTGACGTTGACGGACTGTCTGTTTGAAACAAACTGGTGTTTGTTGGTATTTTCAAATATTTTGGCGAGCGTTGCGGCTGCAGCGGTTGCACCGGCTGCAGTGGTTGTGGCGCCTTAACTGACGTACAAATATTTGTCGGAAATACGATCGCATCTGGATTGCCCGGCAGAAAGGTGCATAGATATTCAGCTGTTAGAAAGAAGTATACCGTTTTCATGCGCTCATTATGCACTTGCAATGCAGCTGGATACATTTTATGTAGTGGAAATGTAGCGTGTATAACATAGTGCAGCATATAATAATCAAATGCGTTTAGTACAAGAGATGTGACTTGTCGACGAAATGGATCAATGTTTACTAAGTCTGCATAGAAAAGTGAATATTGGCCAGATTGTATCATCTCGCTTACTTTGTGCTGCAATAGAAATGAAAGTTATAAAAATCGATGATATTTAACATAATAAACATGAAGCACTCACCGGCAGCAAATCCAAATTTAATTCAAATTTTATAGCTTCATTAAGTAGGCGATAGCACAGCCGTAACATTGGACCCATCGGCGAGAAGAATTCATGCAATACATCGAAGCACATTGGCGAATTTTCCTTGGTGGTGGCACGTAAACCCCAGCCAAGACCGCCACTACCTATACCAAACACTGATTGTACTATTGTTGGGAATACATCTTGTAGTTCACGTAGACTGCAACGCTCGAACAGCTGCGTCAATTCCACACAACGGTCCGGTATCGGATAGCTCATCAACTCCATTATCCGATTCTATAATTAACAGATGGTCAGATTCATACAAGTAATTTGAGGTTATTTTCCAACTTTATTGATATTATTTATATGCAATTAGTACTTACACCAAGATTTTCGTTATAAAAGGCCATTATTATCTGCTTGCCTATTGCAGTTTGTTTAATATTAGAATATTTTCCTCCAATTCAGTTTGTTTACTACCAAAACGGCGGTAAATTTGTCACTACTAGAGTTTCTGCGACAGCCGGTTGCACACACGCTGTGCTACCAGATGTATAACTAACACAATGATGTAAATATTTTGTAAAGGGAATTTAGTTACACGAAATTTTGCTTTATTTGCAAATAAGAAATTAAGTTATACAAATTTAATGCTTTAATACAAGAGTATGTGACAAATAAAAAAAAAAGGATATGAGTGCTACTATAAATTTAAATATAATTTGACGAACAATAATATATAACTTAGTTTCCACATAGCTTTGAGTTTAAGAAGTTTTTTGTTAAATTTATTTTGACTAATGTACAATATACTGATACTCCCTATCTGTCACATAATGCATATATACTCAGCTTCCTGCAGCATATTTTTCTATATGCGCGTTTTTCACCATTTTCATTTATTCGCTCAAAATAGTGAATGCCTTTGTACATCCATACAGAGAATGTAATATATACATTCTCTGATACATATACATATATTGAAATGCACTACAGGGTGTCAACATTTCTATGCATGGGAATGCATTGTTGCAATCAACCCTTGTATAGCAAAGCACAATGCAACAAAAAAGTGGGTTAAAGTGTTTTTAAATTACTTGACTCTTCCATTTCCGGTTGCTATAAACAAAATAACAACACAAATTATAACAGTCACCCGTTGGGAAGGCAGACAAATCGAGAAAATAGAAAAATTTATAAACTAATAGGAAATTATTGCCTTTTTATTTTTATACGTATACAAAAATAGTATTATTGCATTTATAATAAAATCACAGACGTGATACTATGGAGGAAGTGGATGTAACAACAGTCGATCAATACCAAACGCTGGTGCGCTATAATAACCCAGTTTTGGTGGTTAAACATCCTGACAAAAAGGGCGTACCAACAGATATTGTGAGTTTAGCTTGTTACTTTTTAACGCAAGTTTAATTTTATATTTTAACGACAAGCGTAGGAGTTGAAGCGACCACTAACAGCTGGTGCTTTGCTCGACACCAAACGGGAAACCGAAGAAATCTTGAATTCGATTTTACCACCGCGTTGTTGGGAAGAGGATGGACAATTGTGGCAGCAAACCGTAAGTACAACAAGTAAAGCATGAAGTAAAACTAAGGTAAACGAGAAAAACGTTAACTTCGGTTGCACCAAAGCTTTAATACCTTTCACAGGTGCGTTTCTTATAGCATAAAAGGGGTATAAAAAGACATTTATTTATCTATCTTGATTTTGAACGTTATCCGATCTGTAAAATTTGTTCGTAAATTGTTCCGTTACCTTAGAAAATAGTCCATGTCATATATCGTGAAGATATCTTGCCAAATAAAAATGTTTTCCATATATGTATGGACCATGCATACAAGAACCATATTTTGATTGTTCAGTTTGTATGGCAGCTATATGCTATAGTGGTTCATTATGGGCGATTCCGACAAATGTGCAGTTTCTAGGAAAGAAAAGGACGTGTGAAAAATTTTATATCCCGAAAACTGAAGGACTAGTTCGTGCATATGTAGACAGACGGACGGGCGAACAGACGGACGAACGAAAAGACGGGCATGACTAAATCGACTTAGCTCGTCATGCTGTCCATTTATATATTGTATATTTTTTATTGCGTCTCTGACATTTTCTTCTGGGCAAAACAAATATACTCTGTTTATTGTATAAACCGCGGTGTGTTACATAAAGCTTAAGAACTTTCGAGAATGATACTAAATATATATTTCTTCCAAAAGGTTTCGAGCACACCAGCTACACGACAGGATGTGATCAATCTGCAAGAGATGCTCGACACGCGTCTTCAACAAACGCAGGCGCGTGAGACTGGCATATGTCCCATACGTAGAGAATTATATTCACAGTGTTTTGGTATGAAAAATATATTGTACATTACAAACAACTTCAAAAATACTAATGTACGAATATCTGCTTCCAAGATGAAGTAATACGTCAGGTCACCATCAATTGTTCCGAGCGTGGTTTACTGTTACTACGCATACGCGACGAAATCACCATGTCTATGGAGGCATATGAAACACTATACTGCAGTTCGGTGGCATTTGGTATGCGTAAGGCATTGCAGGCGCACGAAGAAAAGGAAATGTTGCGTGATCGTGTCAAAACATTGGAAATGGAAAAGGAAACGCTCGAAGATATTATAAACGATATGAAAATTAAACAGGAGCAAGCAGAGCGACGTAATGCAGAATTGCGCGCTTCCGAAGAGAAGAAATACGCAGAAGAGGTTGCATTCCTCAAAAAGACCAATACACAGCTCAAGGCGCAACTGGAAGGCATTACGGCGCCAAAGAAGTGAAAAATATATACACGTACTGGAAGGACTTTTGTGCAATCTCTTTTTTTTATACTTTTTGTGCAATAAATTGTTATATTTTTGTATTTATTGATGAGTCTTTTGTTATGTTGAGGACATTTTATACTTTAATGATATTTTAGTGAAATAAGCAAATCACTCAGCGTCTGGCGCCGCAATCGCATCATTTTCAGTTGGTGTAACACTTTCCTCCGTCTCAGCTGACGCTGTGGGCGCTTCTTTCTCAGCTTGCGCCGTTCGCTCTTGCTCCACTTCATCCTCCATGTTTATTTCATTTACAATCAGTGTGGGTGTGAATTTAGCAGCAATTTTGGCCGGCTTCTTTATTTCCTTGGTTGGACGCTTTATAGGCGGCTCTTCTGTTTCTGCGATTAAATTTAAGTGCTCTATTGCTTCTTCCGTCTGCGGTGTTGCAGACACGTCGTCTTCACTCTCCTGCGGTAAGTTAGCGTACATTTGCAAGTCAGCTTGCGCTGGTAGCTTATCCTTTATCTTCTCCATGCGTTTCATATACATTTCGTATACATACTCTGCCATTTGTGACATATTGTTGACTTCGCACATGTTTTGTGCATCGACTTTGTCGTTGGTTAAACGCTGTACGGGATAGGTTTCTTCTGGCAGTAGTTGCAGCCGCTGTGGACGTTGTGTGAGCTGCATTGAAAATAGAAATATACTAGTAGATTCGAAACTACATTTTGTATTGACACTTCAATGAACTCACCAATTTAAATGTTTGTTGCAATTCGAAACAGTTCTTAAACAATGCCACACGTCCGAAAATATACAAGCCGAGCCGCGCACGACTCATAGCCACAACCAAACGACGTACATCGCGTAAATGGCCCACCGCTTTTGTGCGCACCAATGAAATCAGTATGTAGTCATTCTGTTGACCCTGATACTTATCAACAGTGGTGACTTTGTATGGCCAACCGATGAGTGGATTATTGCCACAACGCACATTGATTACATCGCGTATCAAATGCTTTTGTCCATTGTAGGTGGTCAATATGGATATCTTCTCGGCGGGGTAGCCCAATAGACGCATGTACGTATAAACGGCTACTATGTACTCAGCCTCAGCAAGATTCTGTCGATAAAAAGTCAGGTTATGTAAAGAGTAGAACGAATTTTTTGCGCAGTGGAACGCATGTGAGCTTTGAACAAGTGCAATTAGTGGGAATAGAGGAAAGACAAAGTGTGAATAGAGTGCTGGGGAAATTTAGCATTATTCTTTTCAACTTATAAAATAACAGTAAGCATAGAAACGTGAAATTAAAAGTTCGGTTGAGATAAAAGTTGAAGGATCAGCTATGACGTGTGTTTGGGGAGTTCAGCAGATTTTAGTTTAAATTATATGTAAAAAAAAAACATGAAACCGTTACATAATGAAGCTAAAACGTACATATGTATATACGTATAGCACAAAAACTCACTTGATAAAAGAACGGATTCGGTTCGGTTTCGCCCACACCCTTAAAATCATCCACATTGATGAGCTGATAGTCGTGTACAAAGCCAGCATTTGCATTACGATATTCGGTACGCTCTAAAATATGCGAAAGATCGTCTAATCTCTTGTAGCGCCACTTATACAAGGAGCATATGCTAAATGAAATGAAAAATAAATTTAAAAAAATTAACTAGAAACAAAATAAGTTTTAACGTACCTTGATCTGGCACGTCCTTGACCATCCAAATCGACCGTGGGCACGCCCAAACGCACCAAGCGCGTAAATAAACTCTGCTCCATATTCGAGTACTTTTGGAATGCCATATTTTTGATGACCGGCGGCAACTGATGATGATCACCGATCATAATCCAACGTTTCAAGCGATTATAACCATCGAGCGGATCTTGTAGCAACAGCGGAATGAATGTTTCAATTTCCAAAATTTGCGCTGCCTCCTCCATCAGAATGTTGTCATAGCGAAAGCCTAAATTAACCAGCTCTTTACGCTTCAACGCAGCGTGTGTACAAGTCATGGCTATGATTTTTGCTTCTTTCACAAGCAAATACTTAGAACGATCCAAACCTGTGCGCAACAGTTCGAATGCGCGAAATTCTTCCAGTTCTGTGAAAATATGCGTAATATAACGGAAACAGGATTTAGCAATTTCCATGTAATCATCGTATGTGTCGCCTTTGAAAAGCGGCTGTGGCGCATCAGCGAAGAAACGTGTGAAAGGAAATTCCTTCTCGAAGACTACACGCCAAGTCTCTGGCTCAACGGCAATGGAAACGACTGTGGCTTGTGTAAGAAACTTTTCCCAACGCGCCACTACATTATAGAGATAAAAGTAACCGGCTGTTTCGCAAGTGTACGCATTATCGCCGAGCACATTGAGCGATTCCTGTAGTTTTTGTACCTTCTTAAGTAGTTGCAAGCGCTGTGTCAAGACGTAGTTGACGCGTCCATAACGACTGAAATCTTTTTCCGTCTCCAGCGCCTCTTCACCGTGACCAAGACGTAGTAAATGCCGTTCGTCAATGTCTAAAGCCATAATTTTTTCGAAGAGTTGATTAAGCGCTTGATTGGAGTGTGTTACGATTAACGTGCGTTGATTTGGATGATTGTGATAGATATTGGATATGATTTGTACCGCCACATCAGTTTTACCTGTACCTGGTGGACCCACAACCAATGTTAGACCGGGTTGCATGCCAGCGCGTATGGCCTCCAATTGGGTGGCGGTGAAACGTACCGAGTTTCTGAAAGTTAGTAGTCAATTAGTCGTTGAGCCGAAACTTTGGATTTGATTTTTTAAATGATTAAATCCACCAAAAATAATTACAGTAAAATTTTAAATTATGCTTAAATGGCTAAATGACCTTCTCTTATAACGATTTTCTTCAACAATAGTAAAAAAAACACTCTTAGAACGCCGTTTTAATTCAGGAGGGTCATATATTCAGGGCCCCGCACAAGTTATATAACCTTACCTTTTTAAACCATAACTTGTTCGGGGCTTCCGAAAAATTATAAGACCTTCCATAACTT